TGTATCTGTATCTGTATCTGTATCTGTATCTGTATCTGTATCTGTATCTGTATCACTTACTTTGCAATGTGCGACCCCATCCGCTGACAACGAGCATTTCGTTGTTGTTGATTGCTGATCGAACGCTAGGCAGAGGCAGACAGATGGGCTGGATGTACTCGTTTAGCTGGACAGGTGAGCTGAGACGTATGAGGGCGATATCATGATGACGATGGCGACTGCTGGCATCATATTGTGGATGCGGAATGGCCTCTTCGACGCCCAGCTCCAGCACTGGCTGATTGCAGTCACCCATCACGCAGTCCACATCTGTGCTCAGATCATATTCACCCAGTCGCACGCGTACGCTGAAGCAAACCGAAATAGTATCATCCCCCAGATACTGGTTTAAGTAATGTTCTGCACTTACAGTTGTCCCACCTCTGTCTCGATTTCTCCCGTCACGCAGTGGGCAGCTGTCAGGACATAGCGATTGTTTATCAAACTGCCGCCGCAGTTCAGAAGTGTTTTGCCACTGCCTGTAGGAGGAGACACGATATATTAGAAGAGATCTTATGAGATGGAAATTTGTGCCACTCACGACTTGTGTACTCCAGCAGTGCCATCCACACAAAGTCATCTAGAGCCGTATCGTTGCCATTGTAGATCCGATTGTGGAAGGAATTCGGTCCACATGCGGGAGCACGCGGCAGCAGATTTCCACCCTGGCCGGGGCTCGGATTTATGATCGGGATTGGTCTTCGTGTTGTTGTTGTTGTTACCTCAATTGGACTGCTTGTTGTCGTTGTTGATGTTGTTGTTGCAGTTAGAAAGTTTGTATCTCGAGTGCAGCAGACATAAGGCAAGCGACCGAATCCATTTTCACATTGCGATTGCCGCAGAAAAGTGCGTTCGTCGTTGCTCAACTGAAGCTTCTGCAGCACATTCAACAGAGGCGGACAATCATAGAGCGATATGCAATAGCCCACATTTTGATTTGGATTCCGACAATTCACTACAATGCAAGCAAAAATAATTAAAGTGAAGCAAATTATTTAAATGAAAGCAGTTCAATTTAAGCGTGATAAGCTTGTGAAATTTTGTAGAAAAATTTGCATAGAATGAACACAGATAATTAAAATTGGGTTTCTGAGAAAGCGTAATCGCATACTCTCAGTAAGGGAATAAACTAAGTGGATGTGTTGGAGTTTTCTCTGGAAATATTATAAATTTTGGATTACCGTAAGCATATATACAAATTGTCATATCTGAATACCCCCGTGTTGTGAATCATTATATATTGATTTAAGAACTCTTCATTGAAAGTGTAAACTGTGCATATATTTTACATTTAAAAATTTATTTAGACATCCCAGGCATACATATGAATATTTTCCTGAATTACCCAATTAATTAATCAGAACTTGGTAATTAAATAAATAATTGCAGTTATATTTATTTATGCTGATTATTGGAAATATAAATAGCCGAGAGTAACTAGACCTATATTTACGTAAGCTAATTAATTAATTAAATGCAGAATTCAGTTTAAGCATCAATTAAAATATTCATAATAAATGTGGTAGAATAATGAATGTATTTTGTAGCTTAATGCAATTGCTATCACTTAAATAATTTGCTGTACGTAAAGTCTAACAATTATTTCCTGTATTTTGAACACATATTTACAAATACATGACAATTTTGCAAATACAGTTTGCGAATTGCTAATAAACAGCGGCCAAGCAAGTTTGTTGTATTCATACATATTCATATATTGAAACAAAATACGTAATCATAGAAACTTTGGAGTTCAAAGCTTTTAGTTGAAATGTGATTAAAAATGATACCGAGAGCCATAAATGGAATCAATCAGAATTTCAACGACATGAAAGTGAATGGCTCTTCGTCATTCGCTTTCTTAAAAACGAGGCGCCACAGCGTATAAAGAACGCACGCCGATAATTAAATATAATTAATGGTGATCTGATAACCGGAGATGGGGATTGGGAGAGCGGCACTGATCGAGTCAAGTTCACATAGCGGATGATTCACTGGAAGCCCGTAAACTGCGCGTTGTTTTACTTTAATTTTTGCTTTACTAACTTTGTGCGTTAGCTGTGTTGTGCAGCAGCGCCGCGGTAACGAGGAATCCCAGAAATGAAAACATTAATATAATTGCGGGAAATAACACTCAAATTCAAAAACTTCGTGGGAGAATGCCTATGACCAAATTAATCCAAATTCCCATTCAGCGTAATGCGTGTGCTGGCCAACCTTGACGCGGTCACTAATCACGGTGAACTGATCTGAGCAACAGCTGCGACAGGTCTTAAATAGCCGCTGACAACGTTGGGAGAGCTTTGAAGCGGCTCTTCGTTCGATCCGTGAGCGTCGAGTGCGTGTGTGAGCGAGATGGGGGCTATGAGAGAGCGCAAACTAGAATGCCGATAGAGTGCTGGCAAGCCGAGAGTATATCGAGAGCGTGAGCAGGAATGGAAGTGGAACGTGACAGTGGAAGCCGGAGCAGCAGCTGCATTGCAAGCGTGCTAAGAGGCAATGAATTTGTATATTAAAAAGTGCACGATACAATGGAAATGAAATGCTAAAGTGCAGGAAGGCAACAGCTATCGAGTTATCAGTCGAATGTATACATGTCAGAGCGAAAAGAGAGGAAGAGAGAGCGAGAGCGCGTAATACGTTTCAGTGCTGATAGCGAAAGTAAATAACAGCAACTGCACTGCACTAAAAGATTATCCATTAAGCATTTTGATCAAAGCGAATAAACAATTCAAGACTTGTAATTTCAATTACATAAACAGATCCCATTGCATATTAACATATATATTAATTAATAGGGGCTCAAATTTGCGTTAACTAAACTCTTATTGAGAACCTTGAAAGCTTATGTGAGAAAGCGTAAATGAGATCGTTTAAAAATGTAATGGAAATTAAGTGAGTCTTTGATGCTGGAGTCTAAATTTTGTGTATATTTAATAGTGTTTATATATGTATTTTTTATACCCTGAACCCATTGAAAATGGGAAATCAGGATATAATGTTTTTGTGTAAAAGTATGTAACAGGCAGAAGGAATCATCGCAGACC